GAACATTCTGTCTTTATTAAAAATATTTGTTTACAAAAGACACTGGATATTTGAATTTTCTTTCATTTCGTTTGGAATCTTTGGATATTTGGAGTTGGAATTTTCACAAAATTGAAATTCAACATTTTTCCCTGAATCACTATAAATTTCCTTCTTCCCTCGAACCTTAAACCTTCAACGATTAAAATTTTCCCAAAATAAAAATCAACATTCTAACCACAAAACCAGAAAAAATTGCAAATATCAACGTATCTCCAAGATCCCAGAAATTCCAGCGTCTCTTCAGAATTCCAACCACCAGAAGCCTTCTCCTAACGTCAGAAGCCTCGTTGAAAATCTTCACAAAAACGATCCATCAACCATGAATTCCCGTGGAACGAGATCCAGTCCCAAGTCTCCGCGACAAACCTCATAAAACCGGCGACCTCTCCACCCACGAGGCTCATCATAATCACGATCCAGACCAAACAATGCATCAGCACCCTATTCGCTTCGAAAACTCTGCTACAAAATGATACGCTTAATCCAAACGAAAGACTCATTTCCCATTTACGTATCTCTGATCGTCAGTTATCAACAAACACACTTTCTCCACGATGTTTTCACGCTGATTTTCCTCAGAATCACAATTTTTTCGCCTGAACTATCGTACGATTTTAGTACGAGTAGCAAAAAATTTAACAAAGATGCAAGAGAACGGTTGATTAGACGGTAACTTATTATCGTTTCAATTGCAAAATTGCGATACCGCGATTTTTCTGAGATGAATGTAGAATATTGTTTATTCGTCGTGGATGTGTCATCTGTATTCCATACATTGACCTAATTGAGGAACATCTTCTCGTTAGGATTTATGAGAGAAAATGATGGGGGATCTGGTATTTATTGATTTGTTATTGAAGTGGGTTATCGGAAGTTGTTGCACCTAATTCGTTTACGGAGACAAAGCTATTGTAGTCAAGCCTGGCAGAACTTCTGTGCTAGTCTAATTGAAAGAGACGTAAGAGTGTCTACTTAGTTGAAAAAGCATATTTCTTAAATAAAAATTTAAGAAACAGTGTGTTTTTTGAACGGTCGAACTTAAAATTAATTGGACACATTTTGAGCTTGGAAAGTTTAATTAATTATGTAGAATTTGAGCAATCATGGCTGTGGAAGCTTTACAATTCTTTGTAAATTTAGTGAAAATTTTGCATTGACTCTTTTGCGACCAGACACAAAAATCGAGCAGAATTTAGTAGTTAAAGAAGAGAGAAATTTTCTTTCCCTTGTGATAGGGTTAATCCTTTGAGGACGATAGGTGTGCGTTGATAATACACTATGAACGCTATAGTGTAGAGACACTATGAGACACTGATTAGAATTTAATAGTTGATGAAAGATAAAATTTTCATCCCTTCGTGAAAGGGTTAATTCTTCGAGAACGATGGACTTATATACGCGCTCACAAAACACTATGAACACTATAGTATAGGGATACTATGAAACATTGTTTTTAAGAAGTTAAAACAGTGACCGTAAACTCACACATGAAAAAATAATTTCGATATGATTTAGTTTCGTAAGAGAATTGAAATAGTGACCTAATCAGGTATTGTACAAGTAATCAGTATTTCACCATGTCACATATTTTCAATCTCAAAAGGGTTAAAAACACCACAAGAGTAACTTTCTTTTCTCTTCAAAAAATTGTCTCATTTCAATATGATTTAATTTCCTAAAAGAATTGAACAAGTAATCATAATCGTTAATGGCACGTATTTTCATCAGCAAAAGGGTTAAATACTACAAAAACAGTTTTCTTTCCTCCTCAAAAAATCGTCTAATTTCAACATAACTTAATTTCCTAAAAGAATTGAAATAGTGTCGTGCAAGTAACTTTCTTCCCTCCTCAAAAAATCGTCTAATTACAGTATGATTCAGTTTCCTAAAAGAATTGAAATAGTGTCCTGCAAGTAACCTTCTCCCCTCCTCAAAAAGTCGTTTAATTTCAGTATGATTCAATTTTCTAAAAGAATTGAAATAGTGTCGTGCAAGTAACCTTCTCCCCTCCTCATTGTCTAATTACAGTATGATTCAGTTTCCTAAAAGAATTGAAATAGTGTCGTGCAAGTAACCTTCTCCCCTCCTCAAAAAGTCATCTAATTTCAATACGATTCAATTTCCTAAAAGAATTGAAATAGTGTCGTGCAAGTAACCTTCTCCCCTCCTCATCGTCTAATTACAAAAATCGTCTAATTACAGTATGATTCAGTTTCCTAAAAGAATTGAAATAGTGTCGTGCAAGTAACCTTCTCCCCTCCTCAAAAAATCGTCTAATTTCAATACGATTCAATTTCCTAAAAGAATTGAAATAGTGTCGTGCAAGTAACTTTCTCCCCTCCTCAAAGAATCGTCAAATTTCAACATAATTCAATTTCCTAAAAAAATCGAAACAGTGTCATACAACTAATCAGTACCTCTCAACGTATCACCTACTTTCATCCTCAAAAGGGTAAAACACCACGAGAGCAACCTTCTCCCCTCCTCAAAAAATCGTCTAATTTCAATACGATTCAATTTCCTAAAAGAATCGAAACAGTGTCCTACAACTAATCACTACCTCCCAACATATCCCCTATTTTCACCCTCGAAAGGGTTACAAACACCACAAAAATCAACTTTCTCCCTTCCTCAAAAAAATCCTCGCAATTTCACAATGCTACATTGCCAAACAGACTCCCACGAAACCCCCAAATTTCCCCCGTTGTTCCTCGAAAGCATCCTCTCCGACCGCGCTAGTAAGCCTGGTGAAAATTCGCGTACTCACCAGTCGCGTACTCCTTTCCAAGAAAAACCTCGCGTTCTCCGACGAACCGCGGGCGAGGTAACGTCTCTCCGTCGAAAAAGAAAGAGGGGCTTCTGGCGTCTCTGGCTTTTCTCAAGGCACCGGGTCCACTCGTTGCAAACTGATCCAGAGGATCCTCCTGCACACGCCTAGTCGGTCGGGTGTCGATCCAGGATCGCGTGGCCGCTGTCAGGAAATTCGCACTCTCGGCGGAGGAAGCTGATTCACCACGCGCGCATTCCTCCTGTTATTTCAGGCGAGCCGGGTTATAAATCCTCCTCCTGCTCTTCTTTCCTCACAGCTTCCATCCTCCGGGATGGAAAATCCTCCGAACGAAACTATCTTCCTCCTATCCAATAGCACACTTGTTTTTTCTTCTTCTGTCACACCAATTTTCTCTGTCAATTTTTATAAATCCTTCCTCTCTCCGACCGAAGGGAGAAACACACCTGGTCTGACGTCACACCTGTTCCACCCCTGCAGAATTTCACACTGACTATGCGAACAGTACACTTCCGGTGGACTCGACCTATTAGTCACTGGTAACCAGGCGAAATTCGATTTTTTACACTCGAGTTAGCGAATTGAACGGAACACACTGTTGTAATTGTTGACGAAATTTTTATTGTTTATTATTTTTTTTTTATTTCTAATTTTTCTCGGTTCGGATTTTTTTTCGTGTTTTTCGCGTTTGATGGAGTATTTTGGAAATTTTTAATCCAGGCGTAGACGATGCGAAGGTGTGTGGTATACCGTGAGCAAGTGACTGTGGCTGGCGTCGCGGCGACACTGACACGAGTAACGCGGTCCGAGGCGAGAGGATGCGCTCGAGGAAAGCTCGGGGCGAAGTGCCAGAAGAGTCGTCGCTTGAAATAACCGCTCGTCCACGGCCTCCCTCCGCCAACCCCCGTTTGCCGCTCTCGTAGTTCCTCTCTCCCCACTCTGTGTCTCTCTTCTCTCTGTGACTCTAGCCTGCACCAAGCTAAACTCTACTTCTCACAGCCCCACTATATTTTCTACTTGCTCCTCTGTGCCTGTCTTCCCGTGTTTCGTGGATCGCTCCACGATCGTTTCTTCTTTCTCTTACGCTTCTTTGCTAGAGCTGCGGTACAGTGTGTCTTCTTCTATCTCGTGGGATGTAGTGTGTTGCTTGCCGGTTGCTTCTTCTTCTTCTTCTTCTTCTTCTTCTGGTTTAATGGTACGTGCTCGCGCGCGCACGTGCACGCGAGTTTTCGCGCCACAGCTGGAAGCTCCGTGGAATTTATCGCGTCGCTAATGGGAAATGGGAATGTTTTGATCGGGAGATATTTAACCCCTGAGGGGGTTCGCGGTTTTCTCCAGCGTTTATGTGCTTCGGTTGTGGTTGGATAGGGATGGATAGATTCGAGGTTTGACTTCGATTGGGTTCGAATTTTCTTCAGGTTTTTTTGGAAAATGAAAATAGTACTCTGAACGAGATGGATTCGGATGTTTTGTGAGTGCTTGAAGAAATGAAAAGGGTACTTGCAAGTAGATTCGATTATTGTGATCGAATTGATTCGAAAATTGGTATTTCTTATACACGATTCAGTTATGGAATAGTAACTAAAATTATTGGTGGTACAGCTGCTATTTAGCTTTTCAAAATTGGACCAAACGACTTGGGATTTTAGAGAAGTTAGAATTAGTTTATTGTGTAGATGACGTGTACAAGAAATTTGGAAAAATTGCAATTTGGGGAAGTCGCGAAGAAAATTGTGAAGGTTAAAGGTCACATACACTTACAAAAATATCAATTTTTAATAAATTAATAAATTGCACCATGCCTCTATTTCTTCGAATAAAATTATTTTAACCTGAGTACCAAAGTATACCTAATTACACAAAACCAATTACATTTTGAGAAGATAGGATTAGTGTGTTAAATAACGTGTACAAAAAATTTTTTTAAAATTGCAATTTGGGAAAGTCGCAAGGGACGAGAAATCAGTTTCCAGCACGAAAGGTCAAAGGTCACGTACACTTAAAAAAAAGAATCGATTTTTATTAAATCCCTAAATTGCATTATTCAACAAACTCTTCAAATAAACCTATTTTATCCCAACGTAACCCGAGTACCAAACTATACCTGATTACGCACCTGTTGTATCGAAAGATAATCGGAACCTGGAGAAGCTCAGAAACCACTGTACTAGCCACCGAAGGCTCCTCTAGCGACACCCGGAGGCTCCCGAGTTCCCGCGGAAGCGTCTCGAATCTGGAAACAAGCCTTCCTCTCCGTCTGTCGATAGGAAGCTGGGCAGCCAGTCAGCCAGGAGTCGCGATTATCCGGATCACATAAATTACCGAAGAATCCGGATTGCTGGTTCTCAAAGGGGGAAAACACAGTGGTTATTCAATCTACGGTCATGTCTATCGGTTGGTGATCGTTCGAAAACAGCGGCCCTTCCACCGATTCGCTGCAGGCACAAGGTTTACTGGCTACGCGTAATAACGGGAATAATCGAGCAGTCGCGACTACTTCGATTCACCGTGCCAGATAATTCTCGTTCCGTTCGACGAGCAAAACCAACCCCCGGTTTCTTTCATTCTTTCCAGCTCTCTACGCACGTTTCGGACACGAAACGTACCATGTTTTCGGTGTTCGGAGGTTGAGGGGGATGGTTTGAGGAGAATGTTAGGGTTGGCGGAGTGTTTTCTTGTTTCGTTTGGCTAGTTTGCGATGGAATTGGTTTTAGGTGGGGGTGTTGGGAACATTTGGGTACTTGGAGTGTTTGAATTTCGGATTCTGACGAATATTTGCTAGGTTTTGGATATTCGAAGGATTTGAATTTCGGATTATGGCGAATAATTCGTGGATTTGGAATATTCCAAGTGTTTGAATTTCCAGTTGTGACGAATACCCTATTTTTCGGACCATAAGACGCACCCCAAATTTATGGGACGATTTTTAGAAAAGAATATTTTATTAGGTATATCAAGATATTTTCAAATTCTTACTTAATTTATTTATTGCTAAAATAATTCGTACTAGCAATATTCAGTTCATCTCCACTCTCGGTACTATCACTCATCTGGTTAATGTCACCGTTCGAACTTCTCTAATAGCTTCGATACAGTATAAAGATTCGTATTTTAATGGTACCTTCGGACCATAAGACGCGCTCCAATTTTAAGTCGATTTTTCTATGTAAAAAGGTGCGTCCTATGGTCCGAAAAATACGGTACTTCGTAGATTTCGAATGTTCGAAGTGTTTGAATAATTCGTAGATTTCGGATATGTATTCGATTACTCGTACACTTGGAATATTCGAATAGATAATTTTCTAGGAAAAGGACTTGTAGCACTGATTTCTCAAAGTTATGTACAGTAAATTCTCCACAAGTGTCAGTCCGCAAGGAGTCTAAAGCTGACACTTGAAGAGTCAGGGACTACGTTTTCGAGCCTCGCGCCCGCCTTTGCAGTTTGCCGAACGTAGACAAGGACAGCGAATAAAAGATAAGGATGAGTCGAGGCAACCAAGCGATTTAAATACCAACTTTTTTAATTTTACGCAATTTTATTTGTCACGCCAGACAGTGAACGTGTTAATAAGTAAATGTTGTTCAAATTATATCGTGTTTGATATCATTTTCATCAGAAAACTCTCACCAACATGTTAAAAAAAGTTTCAGATGAAAAAAAGTAAAATTAAAGAAATTATATTTTTCTATTATGATTTGTCGAGCCGTGAAATCTCGTAAAAGAAACCGAGTGGTGTAGCGTTACACGCTTGACTGACAGCGAGCGAGATAACATAGGCATAGCAGTGACGCAGTCTAGGCGTAGGACCATCTATACTGACACTTGTAGAATCCAAACTGACTGACACTTGTAGAGAATTTACTGTAATCACCGGAAATGTTAGGCTTTTTTATCGACGATAAACAAACTGACTGACACTTGTAGAATCCAAACTGACTGACACTTGTAGAATCTAAACTGACTGACACTTGTAGAATCCAAACTGACTGACACTTGTAGAATCTAAACTGACTGACACTTGTAGAATCGAAACTGACTGACACTTGTAGAATCCAAACTGACTAACACTTGTAGAGAATTTACTGTATTCGAATTGTACGAAATATTCGGCACAATCCGAATTATTCGAAGAGTTGGACTATTTGAAGTTATTCGGAGTCAATACTGAAAAAACAAAGATTGCACTATTGATAATGTTGAAAAGTAACCAAAAAATTGTTCCGTCAGCGACATTGGTTATCAGTAGACTGTAGAATATAATCAGAAAAATAGAAGCTAGATAAACAATTGTTTTATACCCTAAAGATTATAACGAATACTATATTTTGGGTCTGTGTAGTTTTGTGCTTTCAAATTTTCCATAAATGCATCAAAATCCGCAGTCTAGTTATCAGTAACCAGAAAAAAAAAAGGATTTTTCAGTCACGCCAATTTCTCAAAAATTTCAAAATCCTTCGATCATTATCTTCAACCTAAGCAACAAGGCAACTTCTTCTCCCTAATTTTTTGAGCAATTCTTTCTCACCCCCGGCTCCTAAGTCACGCAAACTTCAACGAACATCAAATCTCAAATTATTCCCCTGTTAAAATGTTCAAAACCACGCGGAAAAAAGCTAACCACTGTTCCCTTAATCTCCTCGCGCAGCCATTAAATCCCGTTATCGATCTAAAACAACCTACCCCCCTCTATTTTTTATCTACTCATACACCTCTAAATATTTCCTTCGTTTTCACAAAACCTTGTTTATCCGAGACGGAAAAAACTTGCAGCGAACTATTAAACCTCCGGCAAAAACACCGTGCAGAACGTTCGATCCTCTGCAATTTCAACTCCTACATACTACCGGCTTTCTCCCGGTGCTCTTCAGCCGCGCGCACTTGGAGAGAACCAGTTTCTCTTCGGGTAACAATGTAGAAAAATGGTTAATTAACTCGTGGCACGGCACTCGCTCGAGCATAGCTGCTCGCAATTCATCTGTCCGCTGGTTAATCCCGTTAAGAGATCCTCGTGATTCTCTTCTACGAGATGATTC